AAGATATGTACGGATTTTCATATGAACTTTAGCCCCCCCCCCCCCCCGTTAAACTGATGCAGAAATGAGAAGGAAGCAACTTAAGGTTGGAGACATGAGAAACTGGGCAGAATCAAGCTTGAAAGAGCTACCTGTCCTAGAAGTCTGCATCCATTCACCTACATGAAAATTATCTCAACCTAATCTTCCAGGTGTTTATGTATTCCAACTATTTCAGAAAACTGTACAGCATTTTTCATTCCAATATATTGAATGCACCTTTGATGCACCTTTTCAAAGGGGGAGCCAGTTCCTTGGGTGATAAGAGCTCCCATTTAAACGTTACTTTGGAGGAAAGGAAACATGGGCACCTCCTCTCCCCTGTTCAGATAACCTCCAGCAAGGACTGTATACTCTGCATGAATGCATGCTCTGTAGAGGCCTGATTATGGGGTCTGTGGTAGTGGCAGTAGGCCTCCCTCCAGACTTGAGCTCATGCAGGGGTCTAGTCTGGGTTCTAGTCCCTGCTCAGCCACGGAGCCAACTGGGTAACTTTGGGCCAGTCTCAGACGCTCAGTCCAGCCTATCTTGCAGGATTGTTGTTGGGATAAAATTGAGAATGGGAGGAGGAGACTGATGTAAGCTGCTCTGAGTTCTTTAAAAGAAAAAAAGTGGGATATAAGCATAATAAATAAATAAAGCAGAGAGCTCCTAGAGGCCAAATAGTGGAATAATCATCCCACTCCTCTGCCTCAAAATTTCAGGATTGCTCCCAGATAGAAGCGCAGGCCTGGGCTGATGGACTCGCAAGTCACTTTCCATTGCTGTTGCTATAATAGCATGTTTTTTTCTTCATTTGAACAGCTGAGTATGTTCCTATTTGGTTCACAGTTTGAATCTGCATATCAGAGTCCCGCATGCCAAAGAATGGCCACAGCAAAATATCTGAATAATAAATTATAATTAATAGTGACAACAGCAGGTATTATTTTCTCCGAGTGGGATTTGGCAGAAGCAACAACGAGGAGATGAGAAACTGCAGTGGCTGTAGCCGTGCAGAATGATGCCCATTCTTGCTTGGGATCATTAGGAACCCAAGCACATCTGCGGGCACACCTGGGCCCTCTTTCCTCCCCGGCATCCTGGGAGTGGGAGGTGGCTGCCACATGCATCCTCCAAATGATCTTTCTCTAAGGTATTTACAACCAGCCGTTGATAGCTGTAGCCTGGGCACCACCCCAAGGCTCCTTTCCTTCCTGTCACAGCACCAGCAGGAGGAATATGGTCCGGCGGGTCAGATCCACACAATCTGCCCCGCCCACGTGGCTGAGTCAATTTACAGCTGCATGGGAACATATCACAGAAAAGCGACTCTCCCATGGCTGTAGCTGAAGGATGCCGGACAGATGGGAGAAGGGGAAATGTCTGTGCTTGTTTCCTCGTAAAGCTCATTCTCAAGGAATGTGGGGAGCTGCCTTATACCATGGTGGGTCCAGCTTGTTATTGTCTGCAATGCCTGGCAGTGATTCTCCAGAGTCTTCCAGCCCTGCCTGAACGTTCCTGGGATGACCCTGGGTCTTTTTGCACACAGTCTTGATGCTGCAGCACCCAGGCATATCTCTAGGTACTGCAATTCTGCTTTATAGCCACTCACTTGGTGCACTCCGCTCCCAAAACATAAAACTTGTCACTCACATAGAATGTGAATGGTCTTCTGTGCATTTTGGAAGTTTTAGGCATGGGCAACCTGATACGAAAACAGTCATTCTACCACAATATTCCAATTTAAGATGACAAATATGTCAAGTCAAGCATAGATCTTTCGTGAGGGCACGTGGAGGGTCCCCAAGCAATTTTGCATCCAGGCACTGGATTAGCTCTAGTACATTTGTGGTCTCCTATGCCTTCAGGTCATAGCCCTGCTTGCAGTACTATGATAATATCCTTGCCAGAGTTTGGTATGCCCGGGGGATGCCAGGGACAGAGCCAGCGTGTGCAGTCCCATCCTTGACTCCACTATTAATCCTGACATGTTCTTCTGAACGCCTAAAGAGTAAAAACATGGAAAATGTATTTTCCAGGGCACCTTTTTAATGAAACTGAGACTGGAATCCAGACATGGCAAAGGGTCCCAACCAACCTGAACTCCATTTTATTTTTAAAGGACTTAATCATTGCCTTGGCTTTACAAGTTGCACATCTTTACTTTTAGGGAGGGGGGCTCTATCTACCTACCTACCTACCTATCATATTTGTATGCTGCTCCATAGCCCAAGGGCTCTCTGGATGGCTCATAAGAAAACTCTTGGGTGGCTTTCTGGGTGACTCACATTGTTATGATTCTCTTGGAGAAATGTCAAACTTGGAAATATATTTAAAGCAGAGTAGGTTTCCTGTTCCCGAAGACAGCAAAGAGATAATACAATAACTTTAAATGGTAGCTGTTTCTAAGGGGGAAAAAGCTCTACTTTTAAAGAATCATGATAGAAAGCAAAGAAAATAAAACCATATAACCTTGTTTATTTTGGCGTGAACACTGTCATGTGTTTGTACCATTATGGTAGCCTGAACAAGCCAGAGTGGCTTGTTTAAGCCATGATAAATGCCAAGAGGAATTGGTCTAACTGCCTGCTTAGCCACAGTTTCTCATGTTGTCTGAACCCAGGTGACCTGGCTTGTTTGGGAGGAAAGTAAACCTCAGAGGGGAAAGTGAACCTCAGAGTCTCTCCTGGTGTTCTTTCAGAGCTGCTTCCCCTCAAGCAAGACTGCTGCCTGGTTTTGAATGGCATGACAAGCTGCACCTGGGCCAGTGAGTTAGCAAAAGCTGCCTGGCTTAAACAACTTAAATAACCCAATAAGTGACTTCTCATGATTGGCTGAACTGGTCTCTTGTGTGGTCCCCCTTTTCCTGCTTCAAAATATGATCCGCTGCTTTAATATGCTATTGTTTTCCTAGAAAATCCTCTTCCGCATATCCATCTTTTCTTGAAGGGCTTGGAGGCTGCCATCACATATCCAATATGCAATGCTTGAGGGCAAAGCCCCATTTAATTCAGTGGGGCTTGCTTCCATGTAAACATGCATGAGATGGTGCTGTTAGAGCTTTCCCTCCACAAAGGCTGACTTGGTGATAAAGATGGAGCACTTCAGCTCCCACAGTTATTATGCAGCTCTTAAGAGCCTAAGACGTTTCAAAGAGGCAATCAGAAAAAAACACATGTTTCCTGCTGTAAGAGGATTAGAGTTGGCATATAGTAAGTCAAACTGTGGCTTGTTTGTTTTTTTATTTGAACTGTATCAATAATTTCCAAAGGAACCGTGGCCGTTGTTGCGTTCTCTCCAAAATCTGTTTACAAATGCTACCACTGGTATGTTATTTTACAAGCATGTATGTTTCTTCTACTAGGGAAACAAAAAGGTTCAACTCGTTTCCATAAGATGTAATATGAATCTTGATAAATTTAATTTTAACAAGTGATATCCCCTCCCCTTACCCTCAAAAAGATGTGTATTGAAACTAGCCCTTATTCTGTTTCTGAGCAAGCAATTTTTTGAAGGAGTGGGGAGAGTTTAATTACCCAGTGCCTGCTCTTTTCATCTGCCGATTCACAAAATGGCTAGGTCCAATCACAAATGGTGCTCACCCTTTTTTTGCCCTACTTTTTTTTATCTGATCATGTGTGGCTGCAGATTTTTAAGAACAGTTCATACCTCAGGAGCTTCCAGCCCAGCTGACAGAAGCTACAGCTCATAGTCTTGGGGAAGCAAAGAAATGCTCAACTGGGCAGAAATGAAAGAACATGTCATTGACCAAACCACTAGCATGGAAACTGGCTTCCTCGTGGCTTGATAGAACTCTTCCTTTACTCTTTGACCAAGAAGGAAAACACAAAAGGATTGTCAGGCATGTGGCAAGCCATGGAACCAATGGTTATAGGTTGTATTTGACTTCTGTGAGTCACACAAGTTGCATGGCCTTGGTTTGGAAGAAACCTAATAAGTGCAAAGAGGCATACTGGCATCTGATAGCTAGACTGAGACCCAGGCCCCATTCAAAATAATCTAATATAACTAATATAATAATCTGGGGGGAAAACTGGGCAAAAACTGCTTGCTGAGAGCTGCCATCTGCATAAACATTACTTCCAGTCTTATTACTCAGTGGCTGTATAGATGGTCATGTCATGAAGAAATGAATGTGGACTGCGGGGTTGGAACCATCAAGCATTAAGTATCCTAGCTGCATAGGTGGTCTATAGAGAACCCACAAAACCTGTTTTTGCAGGGTACACATCACACAAAAGGAGCTTACATATACATACACATCTGTCTATGCAAACGGAACCCTGAACACTTAGAGATTGGTGGGTGCAATCAGTATAATGAAGGTCCATTTTGACCCTGGAGGTCCATGATTAGGCTGGCTCCATAAATACCATGAGATGATTTTGCAAACTCTGTGGTGGTGGTTCATTGTTGATAACCCTTGAAAGCCACCCCTCAATATTGCAAAGTGCTTAATTTACCAGCAAGGACTCACTTTAATGTCAGCCCTAAAATCACATATATATTAACAAGAAATATTCATTCATTCATTTAATTTCATTCATTCATTTAATTTCATTTTTATACAGCCCAATAGTCAAAGACTCTCTGGGTAGTTAACAACAGCTATTTATGAATTCCATGCCTGACTAACCCCATCATACCCTCAGTCTGTAAAAGTCTATCAAAAATCTTAGTACGGTTTGTTGTTTCCTGCTTGTCAAGTTTAATTTGCAGAATCACATTCCTCCCATATATATTTTCAGTCATCCCATCATGATATCCAACTAAATTCTATGTGTGGAAAGTTCAACATAAACTGGACCTCTAACATTACTCAAAATACAAGGTTGCCTCTGCCCACCTCTGTCTACCCATTCCCTGAACACCATTTCAGTGCTGACTGGAAGAACATGGTAATAAGACAATGCCAAGATTTTCACAATGAATATAACATTTTATAAGTGTTTCCATACCAAACGTCCTCTGCATCTTCATCACACTCTGCCCCAAATTGACAAATGTCACAGGTGGAAGTTTCCTTTTGGATGGTTTCTCCAGAACCTTCGCTTCCTGGGAGAGAAAAGAATCAATAAAAAGAAAAGATGTAAATGTGTTGATCAAATATTAAAACTAAACCGTCACGATTGCAGAAAATTATCTACATTTGTCCATGACATGTGTGAATGACAAGAGCTCAGGCCTTGCATGCTGAATGCATGTCCCAGGGTAGGGCATGGCATTGTCTGTATCAGAGCTGCACTTTCTAGCCTACCTGCATTCCATGGCACATCGACAACGTGTGTACACACGTTTGAAAGTGGAAGCATCTCTCCCTGTGACTGAGAACCTTCCCTTTGCAGCATTCTGCCTTACACAGAGAGGAACTGGAGATCATAGCAACCCACAGGGGTATGTTACAGGCACAGGTGGGCAGGGGAAGGAAGTGGGCATGGCTTCTTGGCCCCAGTGATTGTGTAAACCTGATCAGTGGATGAAAATGAAGCCTGCTGTCCTCCCATATGTTCAAAGTGCCAATGTCTTTGGGTCAAAACAAACATGATTTTATATCTAGCAGCTATGTCTGTTTTTATGCTAGCAGCCCGCCAAATTTGGATCTTAAAAGCCTCCTTCCCCCACCTCCCATTCTAGGGCTCCTGTCTGATTTGAGAGGGCTGCACTTACTCTGGAGTGATAATGCAAAGAAGATATAGCTTCTAGACATGGATGTAAAATAATGTCTGCTTGGCCCTCAGCTATAACATGTTTGGGAGAGGTCACTATATAAGGCCGTTGTAGTAAAAACACTGCCCCCCAATAAACCCCCAAAACAAAAGGCCCAGTTCCTTGGGATAACTTTAGAAGTTTTTAAGGTTCCTCAAGCCCCTTTGTAGTTGTCCTTGTGCTTGCCACATTTGTGGTTTTGATGGGAAACTTATCTGCATATTTCATTTTTCCAAGTAGCAACCAGCCTGTAACCTAGACAACAAATGGTGAAGCTACATGTGACATAGAAGGTGATGTCATATGTGCATTTCTACCCAAATTAAAAAAAAACAAAAGCAATTCATCTGCACTGCAATCTTGAACAGCGTACCGGAAGCTGTGTGGATGGTGGGGGTGCTCCTGAACCACCAGTGAGTTCTTTCTGGCTGTGTTTTTGCTCAAAACGTCTCCCCAGCGGCTATTCCATCCCCAGAAGAAAATAAATGCAGAGAGGGGAAGAAAGCTGGGTGAGAGATTTTGAGTGGAAGGCCACCTGGTAAAAAGGGGGAAAGTGGGGGCTGCCACCAGCCTCACCCCCTGCGAGAATTTTGCTTAAAAGGGCAACCTGAGTCTGCTTCTGTTTTCACAGCTAGCTGTGAAACATACGTAGGTGTGGTGTGTGGAGTCAGCCAAAGTGTGTAATGATTGGCAGTGGAAGGGGACATTGCAGGGGGCTGTCCCCAGATTCCTGAAAGAGCAACCTTGACACTTCAAACCGACAGACCGATCAATTGGCTTTGCATATAAGAAAAGAAGTGCAAAGACCCACACAAGAGATCCAACCCATTACGAAGAAAAGAAGCACAAGGTTTCACAAAGGGCTAAATAGTCTGATCAGAAGCAGCTTATGATCCCATCCTTGGTGCATCTCTTTCGAATGGAAGGAGCAGCTGCAATTAGAAGCCACAAAACACAAACAGGGCAATAAATAAATGCATTAATAAATAAATGTGGGTCAGTCGCCCTGTACACAGGTTTTCATCTCCCTTCTGGAACAGGTACAGAGATCAAGCACCTGGTCCATTCTGACCCAGACAGCAGAAGGCCACTTGGAAAGCAACAACCAGACAAGTCTTTGAGGAGGGGAGGAGGTGGGTTATCATTCCGCTGGCGGTTCTCTGGTCAGCACATCTCTTGCCTCCAGGGTGACAATTTTCAGGAACCAACTGGTATTCCGCACAGCTAGATTTAGCTCCAGGGCCTCCAGTGGCTCATCCCTTGATTGGCTATTGCAGATCCCCGGAGCAAACAGCCATGGCCGACTTAACCAGGTGAGTGGAGTGAGATATTGCTTTGTCAGCCTGAGGCAGGCTCTAGCTGGCTTTGGGGTTTGCTGACTATTTGATTTGATCTATTATCATGAAACTTTATTTTAAAAAATAGTTAAAAATAAAGATAGCAAAAAGGAGAGATGGGACACACACAATAATATAACAAGATCACTAAAAAAATACCCACCCACCCAACCACACACGCACAAAGAAAATAGCTAATTCTAACTCTTTGGTATATCACTGATAGGTTTGTGGGACATGTGTAGTAAAACAGCCCAAGTAGGAGTCCACACTCTCAGAAAAGAATGAAAATGTCATGATAAAAATCTTGTCTGGTTGAGGCCAGGCTTAAGTCTGTCTCATGTTGGTTCAAGCTTCAGAAAAACAGGAAGCTGGAAGCGAAGGTCGATGCCTTAACTTTTCCATATCACTGATGCTGTTGTATAATGTCACGAACAATGTCATATTCCTTAATGCGGACTGGCTTTCGAGACCATAGTATGCCAGTCCCCTTTCAACTGCACTGGTTCTCAGTTGAAGTTTGGGCTTGATTCAAAGAGGTAGTATTCACATTGAAAGCCCTAAATGGCTTGGGGCCAGGTTATCTGAAGGAATGCCTCATCACTTAGGTACCTACCCAGTCCCTAAGATTATCTTTGGGGTCCTTCTCTGGGAGCCCCCTCCAAAGCAAGTAAAGAGGGTGGACACCAGGAGAAGGGTCTGTTCAGTTGTGGCACCCTGGCTCTGGAATGAGCTCCCCAGAGAGGTGCACCTGGCACCTACCATCTCCTCTTTTTGGCACCAGAGGAAAACCTTTTTATTGGCCCATTATTTTAATAATCAACCTTTAATCTTAGGTTTTTATACTGTATTTTTGTACTACTGCTATACCTCTGTACTGATTTGATTGCAACTGCTTTGGTTATATTGGTTTTATTATTTTAGTGTCTTATTGTTTTATTGTGTTTATGTTATTCTCTTTATGTTTTTAACTTGTTGTTTATTGTCCAGAGAGCCTTGAGCAGTATAAGAAAGAAAGAAAGAAAGAAAGAAAGAAAGAAAGAAAGAAAGAAAGAAAGCCAGCCAGCCAGCCAGCCAGCCAGCCAGCCAGCCAGCCAGATCTTGGCGTAATATGACAATTTTTAGCACTTTCAAACTTCTTGTACCTGTTATTATTTTTATTACTTTGCTTTAGAATTTTGTACCCTGTAGATGTTATTGGGTAGGTGATGGATGCAAAGCTTCTGGTTATTAGCTCTGCAAGTGTCATTTTTATAAGCAGTAGAACTTAGGGTCTTATAATGGCAGAACCTTGTTTTTGTGGTGGCTTCTTGCAACTCATCTTAATTAAAGAGCCTCTCCTGTGCCCCTTTAATACAAGTTATAGCACATGTATGGGGTTTTTGTGTGCAAGTCTGTGTCATTATATGTGTGTGTGTTAGAGAAAATACAGGCAAGACTCTTTAGGAAACAAAGGAAAAGCTGGGTGCCGTAATGATGTTAAAATCAGGATATCTTGCTTGCTGACTTTGTTAAGTTTATACATAGTCATAGCCTACATCATTGCCATCAACCTCGTGTTTTTCAGTTGGCTGCTTCGGAGACTTCCAATTTTATTTATTTATAACATTTTAATATACTTGCTTTCATTCTGTTTGAAATTCCAGGGCACTGCACAATCCATTGCATCATGACATAAAATAAAACAATAAAACAACTGATGAAGCCCTTCTTAAGTACATGCACAAGTTAAAATGCCTGGATGAACAAAAAGACTGTATTGGAAAGATTGCAAGCCTAGAGATTTAACGCTCGAGCCAAAAAAATGGGTGGAAAACCAGCAACCCCCACTTTTTTCCCAGCTATAATAAATCTTTGCACTGGGGTGGAACAGGAACTCCCCCCACCCCACAGCATTTCCCACTACATCCCCTGCATGTCTGCCCCCTTTAGCTTTCACGTCTCTAGGACCAATGTGGGTCCTGGACAAACCTCTGCAAGGAGAAACTGGATGAGTAAATTCACAATGCCCTGGCAGGGCCATACTTGTGATAGAAGGAGCTGAAGGAAGGCCTCAGCATGGGCAGACCAGTATATATATTGGGATAGCTGACCTTCAAAGATAAGGTGCAAGACCATTTTTACGATTTCCAAGTTGAAAGCTTCAGAGAACATGTAACAAATGCCAAGTGTTACAGAGCTCAATCATTATATCTTTGCAAACCTCCCAGATTTCTGAGATGCTAGAAAAGAATAAGTTCCTACATTTTCCATTTTGTGAAATTGCATGCTCTCCCTCCCTCCTTCCTCCCCCCCCCCGCTTTTCAGTTCCTCTGAAAATCACTTTCCAATGTACTTAATTTTAATTTAAAAGGATTGCCCCTGTTTTCTTCTTCCTTGCTTTAAAGCAGGCATCAATACTGGTAGCAGGTAGGTTTTTGCCACAGACTGAGAAGGTTCACAAAAACAAGAAAGGCATTTAGATCTGAAGTCAAAAAATTGCACGTCTATAGAAGGTTTACATTTGGAATAGTAATTAGACATTTTGGAGAAAGAATATTTCGCACATAAATATAGCATCCCCTTTAATTTCTGTTAGAAATGAAGTGATGTTTCTTTCATTTCAGTCATTGTAGATAGTTGCAGGACTCAGAGAACTAGTCATACTCCCTGACATTAAATTAAAACAGCAGTCTCCTTCCTTCTATTTTTTCTGACATTGGTCCCCGCAGCATGCTTGGTTACAAAATTCGTTTAAGGTGGCTTTTTTCTCTGTCTTTCTCCCCCTTCCTTTCTCGTTCCCCCACTGTGCAGATGAGTGCCTTGATAAAACCAGACAACCTAGAAAGAGTTATTTTCTCCTTATTTCCTGCTGCTGTTTAAACTTCGGGAGGTTAACATGTTCATTTTCTAAGGGTTGTTGTTTCTTACCACTTTTTTGAGCCACTTTCTAATTTACACTTGCCTCCATAGTTTAACTGAAGAAATCTTGACAAGGGAAACTGAATTATTCTTCAGAGACGCAAACAGGAT